GGGCGGCGGCCGGGGCCCGGGCGCAGGCGGCGCGCGCGGAGGCATGGCAGCGGCAGGCTCGCGCGGCGCCCGAGCGGCGAGTGCGCCGGGGGGTGGGGTGCCGCCTTTTAAAGCCGCTCCGCGCCGGGGAAGCGCCGCCGCCGCCGTCGCCGCCGCGGGCGGGAGCGAGGGAGGAGGAGGCGGCCGCGGCGCGTTCCCGCCCGCGCGGCCCGGTGGCGCCCCTGGGCCCTCGCTCGTTCGGCCGGGCGCCGGAGCCTGCGTCCAGTCCCGGGGCTGGGCGCAGAGGAGGCCCGAAACGCCCCCCACCGGGGGAACTTCTCCGCAGACTTTTGGGGCTCTAAGCACACAGGTCTGCCCTGAGCGGAAGCCTTGTCCCCGCGAGTTCTGCTGCGAGCCAGTAAGGTCTTTGGGACATCTCAGGTGAGTTCCCCATTCCCCAAGGAGTTTCCGCTGATGCCTTCCCAGGGATCGCGTACCGGGAGGCAGAACTCACCTGGCTGTGGTTCCCCTAGGCCAGGCAGCCTTGCCCACCTGACCACCGGAGAGTGGGCTTGCCTGCCGGTGTGCAGGATCCTACGAAAAAGGCTTCCCCGAAAGCACTGAGGTGTCCCAGGACCCGGCCTGATTGAAGGGGCACATTGAATTGGGCAAAGGCATAGGCCTATTAGCTGCATTCAACTAGTTTATAGAACTCACCTAGAGAGGCAGACTGTTCTGATGAATCTCCAGACTGACCAGGGAGCATCTGTGTGATCTTGGGCAAGTTATTGTCCTTGATGAGTAGGCACTCCATCTGCAAAATAGTGGTAACTGTGGTTTCTACTCCATATGGCTGTTTTGAGGATGGCATCGGCTCTTGCCATGCAGTCAGCTGTGATAAATATTTGCTTTGAATGAGCCCAGGGCCTGCCACCACGTGGAAGGTAGTCCCTAGATTGTGTATACTCTTAAAAAGCGCCCATTGAGCTGGGACTAGTCAGTGAGAAAGTGAGTTGAATCATCCTCAACCTCCTGCCTGGAGCAGCCTGATATCCAGTAGGTAATTATTTGGAGAACCCTGGAGAATTATGGAAGTGTTCACACTAAGAACAAGTAATGATGAGAGGTGAGGATGGCTGCAAGATCTCTTATTCCTCCCAGGACCTGTTGGTCCCAACTGACTCCACACAGAATGCAAACCTTCAGCCTGATTAATACAGGAGGGGAAACAAAACAAAATCAAAAAAGGTAGAGAAGGCCTTGAGGTGGGAAAGAAACTGCTTATCTAATGCTCAGATTCCAGGAGCAGTCTCTTTGGTTATAGTGCTATGCATAATTCACTTGCTTGAGTCTGTGGCTTGGCAGGTAGAGGTGGTGTACCAGGGGCAAGAGAGGGTAGGGAGAGGGCAGGATCTGTAGAGATGGCTACCTGAGGGCCTTTCCAGTCTCCCTTTTAGGAGTCCTTGGGTTTCATAACCCACATGATTCATCCTTTCTGCAGGCATGAGTCACTCTAATGGAGGTGGGAGAACAGGAGGCGTGGTGGGAGGCCCAACCCGGACAAGCCATATCCACGTTCACAAGGGCCCCTTGGAACCTGAGGATCCATGTCCCACATGTCCTTCCCTTTTTTTGCACCAGATATACTTTCTCTCCCCTGACCAAGATGGGGCAGTTCCCTGGGAAATCACTCCAGAGCTGCCCACACTGCAGAATATAGGTCCCTTGTGTCACAGCCTGGTTGCTCACTGAACACTGCCCATTGGAAAGACCCAAGGCCCTAACACAAACTGGCTAGTGCTAGAGGAGAAGGCCACACCTGTTGGGCAGAAACAATATTCAGGGGCTAGGGTTGTCGATTAATGGCAAAGCATTTGCGTAGCAAGCGTGAGGTGCTGGGTTCAATCTTCTGCACCACATAAAAAATAAATAAATAAAATAAAGGTATTGTGTCTGTCTACAAAGAAAAAAAGAAACAATACTCAGAACCCTTAGCTTGGCCTATCTTTACCCAGTGTTCCCCTGACTGCCCAGTCTCTGGCCCACAGAGAAGGGACACTGGACTGAGTCAGAGGTAGAATTAGAATCCTTTCTCTGTCAGCAAACCCTCCTGGTGATATGTGTCACTATAGCCCTTATTGTTCAGCCTGTCTCTTGGACTTATTCCACTCCCATGTTGTACTTCTTCAAGTGTGTGGTCTGCTTCAAGATATTGCACACTGTGCATAATCTAAGTGATTATGAAGCAACTCATGTCTCTCAAGAGAGTACCCCCATGAGAACAGTGATTTTGACAGGATGAGATAAGAGTTTTTCCATAATAATTTGGTAGATTAAGGGATTCAGCCTACTGAACTGAGGAGACTAAAATGCATCTGAAATTTTTATTTGTAGGGATCTGAATTTATTTTATCAACAAGTCTGGTCCTTTGGGGGCTAAACTTTCCATTTGTCATGGAAGTACCTGGGCCATAGCTTGGCTCCAAAATTGTAAGAAGACCAGCTTCCCAAAATGAACATCCTAAATCAAATTACCTCCTCTGAGTTTCCTATTGATTTATACAGTGACAGGATTAACTCAATCATAGGTGAACCAACCCTTTGCATTGTGATAAGATCTGTAATAAAACTTGGCTCATCTTCCTGCAGGGAGGGGATTTATTACTCACTTGAGCTCCCGCTCTCCAGATGGCCCTGGCCACCCTGCTCAGTTCTGGGGCCAGGGGAGCCTACTGTTTTCCTGGATTAAGGTCAGCCAGACTGAGAAGGGACAGACATGGACCAGAAAGGTGACTGGAGCCTAGCTGTATCTCAGAAGTTAGAAAATGTTAATAGAGAGATGTGATACTTATACAGCATCTTTCCAAACCAGAAGGTAGGAGTCTTCACCAGGAGTATTAAAACTGTGTTCTCGTGCCCATGGCTGACCTTTTACAGAAATTACAGGATTGCCCTGCCTGGATCCAGCATCACCCATTCAGCCAAGACCAGTGGAGAGCAGAAGAATCAAATTCTGTTCCAAAACACCTTGTGGGGGTGTTTTGGAACAGAATTTGATTCAGAATTACCTCCACTTAGGCAATAGACAGTTGACTGACATATTGCAGTTTGGAGAATGTGCTAGGTTCAGCGGCCAGTGTCTGATAGGCATCCACCTTTAGGATATCAGAGAAGAGCATGCATTCAAAACCCAGCTTCACCATGCTCCTTACTTGTGTTCAACCTCAGGTGAGTTAAGCACTTCTGTGTCCTCTGCTATAAATGGCAGTGATGTTGCTGTCCCTGTGCAGGGGCACTGTGAGGATAATAGGAGCTGACTGACCCAGAACTAACCCAGAACTTGGTGCCAGCGAACACTTCAGAAATGGGAGCAACAGTGACCACTGCCCCAGCTGAGCACCTGGAACTCCCCAGTGGGATGGAGTGGTTGGGGCTATGTGCTGTGTCTTTCTGCATTGCTCACAGGCATCTCTGTATACTGACCTCCATCCATGCTAAATCTCTCCACCTTTAACGTCCTGAAGTCCAGAACATCTTTTAATTGGTGTTTTGCATTCACTGCTGATTGGGATTCAAATTGAGTTCTCCAGGGAGGGTTTGTGTTTGCTTCTGCCAGTGATGTGGTGGCACCAGCTTTTGGGACTCCTTGAGGACCACTTGTATATTGAGACCTCAGGCTGAGAACCAGCTTCGGGTTCCAGTGATAGTGCAGGGATTTTCTCCCTAATTCTCTCCTCCTCCACCAGGGTGAAGGAGGAGGCGAGACCGTTCCTTGTCATTTCTTTCTTTATAGTGGGTTTATTTCTCATTTTCTTCTACACTGAGAGTGTAGCTTTTCATGGTCCCAGCTTTATTGAGGGGTCTCCTGTGACACTTCCCATTCTTAGACATTTTTTTTTTCTTTCTTAGTGATGCATTAAATAATGATGTACTTTCCAATCAAGAGTATCTCAAATTTGATGTCATAGTATCAATGCCTTCAAAACATATCACAATAAAGATAACTATTGAACTCTCTCAAATGTATTTGCCTTTTTAATTTTAACCCCTTGTGGCATCTATTAACATCCTACAGAAAAGATACAAGGACTACCCCGAACTCCCTTCGGGGGGTAGATGTGACCATCTGGGTGGGGTGCAGATGGCATGGAGCAGCTTTCACCCCACTCTCTGCCTCTCTGGTTAGAGTCTCCCTTTATATTTAGATCCTAAGAAAATTGTCTTAAGAAAGAGGCTGTAAAAACTGCTTTTTCCTGTGAAACAGTTATCCTGGATCTAGCAATCATGTTTTTCAGCATTCTTTTCATAAACTCCCATGTAGAAACTTAGTGTCAAACAGGGAATTTAGGAGCAAAACGCTGAAACTCCCTGAGGAGCTCTTCCTCATTAAGAATGAGAGCTTTTCAATTTATCTGATTTCCTTTTTTGCCTTGACTTCCAGGATGCTCTGGGCCACAGATGATAGAAAAGCACAACTGTTTATTTCCTCCCTCTTGTAACAGCTGAGATGCCTTTGGTCACAAAATACTAGAATGCCCAACTAAAAGGAACACAAACAACAAATACAATTCATTGTTCCACAAACAGGAATCTGGTGGTAGGTGGCTCTAGAGTTGTTAATTCAGCAGTTCCAGAGATCCCAGGACTCAAGATGGCTCTTATTCACTTTGCCAAGCTTTCTCCTTCGGTTCCTAGATGACCTCTGCAAATTAAAGCATCATGTCCTCTCTAGACAGCCCCAAAGGAAGAAAGGGAGGAAGCGGCTGCTCGGACCTTCCCCACTTCCCCCTATCTCTCGAACATCTCTCATCTCCCTAGCAAAGAGACACCCAGAACCCCCAACCATTTCCTCTCAGGCTCCACTGACCAAAACTGGGTCCTAGATCCTCGCTCTGCAGCCGAGTAATGATTGACAGTGGGCACAGGGTTACCCAGGTTGCTTCGGATCCGTTTGGCTTTTTCCCTGGGGAAACATTCCCCTGAGCACATTTGCTGCCCACAATGGCACAAACCCAGGATTCTGTTAGCAGGAGGCAGCTCCAGGCAGGCTGCTGGGGGTCCCCAGTGGGTCTGCCGCCTCCCCTTCTCTGCTTCCGTTGTATCACTTTCATATAGATCCTGATAGGCACACCGCAGACTTCCATCAAATATTTACTGAAAGAAAGGAAGGGAGAGAAGAGGGCAGTATGGGGGTGCAGAAGAACAAAGGAAGGAGGTGATAAAAAAAAGGGGGGGGAGGAGGAAGTCTCAAGTATTGTTTGGAATGGATACATTCAATAATCAACAACAACAACACAAACCAGCCTCAAGCAGCTGCCGCTCTGACGGTCCCCACTTCCCCCAGCCTCCTGCCAAGCTGAGCCGGGATTCCGGTTGCACTTCACTCCAGCCCAGCAGTAGAAGACGCCTCTCTCTCCAGTGAGAAGACGTCCAGCGACTTCAGGATGGGTTTTGAGTTTGTCGTCTTAAGTGCTTTTCTCTAAGGGAGAATCATTTAGAACTTGAGCTCCCTCCCTAGTCGGGGCAAGTGGGGTGAGGCAGAAGAAGAGGCTGGGAGTGGGGGATTCACAGTCAGAAGCAGGAGCCAGAAACACTCCTTCCTACAAAAGAATGGTTTTGACAAGCTGGATGGACAGCCAAGGGGAAGAGCTCAAGGAACTGTCAAGATGCAGCGTAAAGGACGTGGCTGGGCGGGTGGGCTTGGGCAGCCCCTGCTCCAGGGCTAGTTCCTGCAGATCCCATAGCGCCCCTCTCTCCCTTCGGAGACAAAGGCCAGAAGGCCTGAGCACCTCGTGCTTCATCTCCTGCCCTGTCTCTCTCCAAAGCTGCCCTTGCCTTGGTGACCCTGGTCCTCACCTGACTTCCAGCACCCTTCTCTGCCCTGTCCCCACTCTCCCGGTTCTCCTCCTACCTCAGCTGCCACCCCTCCTCAGGTCCATGGCTGTCCCTGGCTGCCCCAAGCCCCAGTTCTCGGGCTTCTCTTTCCTCTTGATCTTGCTCTACTGATGACCTCAGCTGTTCTCAGGGAGAACACGAACCTGTTACGTGTGGGTGGCTCCCAGGTGCTTCATGGTTCAGATCTCACTCCGGAACTCCGCACGGCCAGCATCTCTACTGGGCTGTCTAAGGCACGTCACAAACACGGAGCGCCTGTCCCCCCCCCAAGCCCCCCCACTATGGTTTGGATGTGTCCCCCAAAAGGGTCAGGGTTGAAATTGAATCCCCATTGTGTCGTGTTAAGAGGGCGGAAACTTAATGTGACTCTGGTGCTTAGAGGTGGGGCCTTTGGGAGGCTATTAGGATTAGGGAAGGTCACCAGGGTGGAGCCCCCAGGATGGAATCCTGCTGACTTTTTAAGAAGAGGAAAACAGACACACCTGTGTGCTCCCTCCTTCTCACCATGGGATGCCCTGTGCCAGCTTGGGATTATGCCAACACAAAGACCATCGCCTGATGTGGCCTCTTGACCTTGCACCTCCAGAACCATCAGCCAAAACAAACCTCTTTTCTTCATAAAGTCACCAAGCCTTGAGTGTTTTATTATAGTAAAGCAAGACAGGATAATAGTCATCCTTTGTCCTGACCCAGTTTTTCCCATCCCAGTAAATGCTGTTTCTGTCTTTCTATTTTTCAGGCCAAAGGTCCTTTTTGATGCTGCCCCCTTTACCCATGTCTGTGCTCTCAGTGAATCCAGTTGTTTCTACATTCAAAATCCATTCATTATACAAAGTACATGTATGAAGACTTGAATTGGGTGTCAACACACCTTATACACAGAGATATGAAAAATTGTGGTATAGATGTGAATTAAGAATTGTAATGCAAAAAAGTACATGTATAATGACATAAATTGACATGAACATACTTTATATACAGAGATATGAAAAATTGTGCTCTATATGTGTAATAAGGACAGTAATGCATTCCACTGTTGTTTGTATTTTTTTAAAAAAATCAATAAAAAAGAAAAAAAGAAAAAAGAAAAAAATTCCTTCAGAGTCTGACTACTTCTCCTCATGCCCGTGTACCACCCTGGGCCAAGTCACCTCACCTGTCACTTAGTGCAACTTAATAGCCTCCTAATTGGTGTTCCTATTCTGCCTTGCCCTCTTTAATCAATCCTCAACACACAGGATCATGTGCAACAGAAGTCAGATCAGGTACTTCCTTGGCCCAAAATTTCTTCCACAGCTTCTAGTCTCATACAGAGAAAAATCCCATTCCTTACATGGCTCCAAAGTTCCCACCTGGTGTATGTCCCCCCCACCACACACCATGCACACACAATGGAGCCTGTCAGATGCTAGAAGAGAATTGAGCTGGATGCTCAAGGCTTCCTGGAGGAAGTGACTTTTAAGCTGAGCTTGGAGAAATAAACAGGAAATCGCTAGATAAGTGGTCCATCAGTCAGGTCCAAGTAGGAAAACAGAAGTCACACTTAAATATTTATGGTGGGGGAAATCGATGACTCAAGCAACCCAAGAATAGCCTAGTCTCTCTCACTCCTGATTGGAGATGATCAGGCAGAGTGCCCAGGAGCGGTACCAGCATGTGCAAAGGCCCTGAGGCAGGAGGAAACTTGGTGTGGTGGAAGGACTAGAGGGGAGGCAGAGGGCCGGGGCATTGAAAATGAAGGGAGGCTGGTGGGACTGGGGACAAGAGGAGTTGTCAGAGGACAGGCTGTTACAGCTTTGTTAGCCTTGGCAAGAATTTGGACTCCATCCTGAGAGGAATGGAAAGCAGAGAAGGGACTCTCACGTGCCCCAACCAGGCAGGCCTTTGTGACTCTCACACCTGTGTCTGCAGGCCTACTTTGTTTTGAAGGTCACACGTTGGCTCCCCCATATACAGTATCCTTACACAATATCTGCTCTCTCTGGCCCCTCAAGCCCAGAGCGGCCTGTGTCGACCTCCTCACCCCACCCGTCCTGGACCCCGGCCTCCAGGGTGCCCTGAGCATTCGGAGGTGTCACCCACTCTGGGACCTGCATGGTCTCTGCCCACTCTGCCTCTCCTGCCAGTCCCCTGCTGTCCTAGCCGGGTCCCCCTCAGGCACACCCAGCTCTGATAACTTCCCAGATGGCCTCTGGCTCCAGCCACTGCCCCTCCACCACGGTCCCAGCTGTCCCAGAGCCTTGTCTCCAGGAAGTCCCATGAGCCTACTTGGACCCTGTGGAACCTTCCCAGCCAGCAGGGTGGAGGCCAAACCCGGGGCCCGGCCCACAGGGAGCTGACACTGTCTTTCTTGCTCTTCCTGCCCCGCCATAGGGCCAGTGGCTGATTCCAGACAGACTGGCCATGCAGGCCTGGCCGCCTGGGCTCTCCCCGTTCCCTCTTGGGGCAGGCCTCCCTCTGCCCACCCCCCCACACTCACATTCCTCCCACAGGTCACCTCTGGGAAAGTGCCTCAGCCACAGGCTCCTCTCCGTCATCCCAGGCAGATTTGCTTTCCCTGTCCCATTGCCTTTAGGTTTTGGGGCCCCACTGCCACCCGAGGTCAGGGAAGCCTTTACACCAGCCCAGGGCCTGGCTCTTGGTGGAGTCTCAGCAGCCGCTTCCCATCCAGAGGGGCTCCCTGTGCCCCTGCCCTGATTCCCTCCCACTGATAAGATCGGCCTCAGACCCCATGATCTTGCTCCGCCCGGGTTCAGAACCTCTGATCTAGGATTTACCTGCAGCAGCCTCTTTTAGGTCCTCGTCTCTCCCTCCCCGCAGCAGCTGAGGTGTCCAGGCAGACTGCTCAGCAGTGAGACCTGTATGAGCAAAGGCCCTGGGGCAGGAGAAAGCGTGGTGTGGTAGGAAGCAAGAGGGAAGGCCGAGGAACGGGCTGTGATGGGAGAGAAGGTGGCAGAGGAGACTGGTAAGGATGGTGTCAGGAGGAGGGCTCTGAAAGGGACCCAGCAGGTTTTAAAAAATCCATCAGAGTCCTGGGTTTTTCCTAGACATGTGACGACCAACTTAGATCCTAAACATCACCTCCTCCGGGTCATCTTTCCCTCAATATTGGTCACAATGCTTTTCCTTAAAGAGTCAAGAACAGAAGGTTTGTTTATAGGTACCAAGGAGCTAGAAGCAGCCTCTGGGGACACTGGCCAAGCTCAGGAAGGCTGTGACTCCGGGTCTCAGTATGTTCTGAACACCCCTGTGCCCAGGATGGGCTTGTACCCTCCCGAGCAGGCGCTGGTGGGAGAGCAAAGGGGTTTGAGGACAAGGTCAGTACATTAAGGTGAGATAAGGGCCAATAGAATGAGAGCGTCCCAGGGAACCAGTGTCCCAGAAGCAAGGCACAGAGGCAGGTGTGTTGCTTCAGAGGTGCTGCCGTGATTTTCTGCAGATTTTAGGGTGACTTCCTGTAGGGCGCCCTTTAGCGTGGGCCTCATTCAGCTGAGTGTGGAACCCAGCCCACGGCTTGCTGGCTGTGAGACTGGGGCGGGGCACGGACCTCCCTGCCTCAGTTTCCTCTACTGCAGGTGAGGCTGACAGTGGAGAGTGAGTGAACTGGTCTTGCAGGACAAGGCTGGCAGCCAACCTCAAAGGTGGACATCCTTGGCTTGGCAGATGCTGGCAGATGCTCGACAGCCGGAGGTGAACCCTGTGCAGGTCCACTGGGGCAGTGGGAAGGGGCCGCCATGTCAGGGATCTCTGTTGTCTTGCTTGCATCCATGTGGTGAATTTAGGGCTTCCAAAAATCCTCTTGAGGCTTTTTATATATTCTTCACCATGGATAGTCTAAACTCCCCAAGCCCCCAGCCCAAACAAAATCATTTCTGCTGTATATTTTTCCTAAATCAAACTCACTAGCAGCGGAGGAGAACCAGTTGCGTGATTGCAGCCTCTGGGGCTCCCCACAAACCTGTCCCATCAGGAGTGACACCTAGGAAGTCCTTTACCCTTTGTAGGTTCAGCCACACTGAACCCAGGGGTCACCTGCCACAGTGTCCAGTTCTTCCTGCTGGTAGGACTCCCCACAGTGCCGTTGATTCCTGCCATCTTACTGTATGTTCCAAAGATTGAAAATTTGGTGATTAATTATTTCTGTGGCTTGAATTAATGGGGCTCTTCACTGGATCAGGGCCAATCTCTTTGTTGTTCTTTTTCTTTCTCCTTCTGAAGCCTTTCCTCTTCCGTCCTGTAAAACTGATCTTGTATTAGAAACAAGCTAAATGGATCAGCACAGGACTCCTGAGCACTGGCTCATCACGGGCCACAGGGGGTCACCGTCAAGAAGAATGCCTAACTCAGTCCTCAGCTTGGATAGACGGGAAGTCTGGAACGTTCTCACACTTCTCAGGTTGAAGCTTGCTGAGGACTTCTACAGTGCCTAGCAAGGCCATAGACAGCGTGATGAGAAGTGACACTCAAGTCCTGACCCATGAATTGGCAGGGCATGGTCCTAGCACACACAGCAGGATTGCCCAGGCAGGAATATGAGAGGACAGTAGCACTGTGGTTAGCGCAGAGATTCTAGGGCTGGCCATCTGGGTCCTCATCCTATCTCTGTACTTCCTAGCTGTGTGACCTCAGGTGAGTCAGTTAACCTCTCTGGGCCTCCGTTTCTAAATGGGTATCTCAATAAATGTCCATCTCAAATACATTAGTGTAAAGTGCTCCAAAATTGTGCCTGGCACTTAGACAACATTATGTGAGAGGTATTATCATAGGACAAGAGCTTTGGCAATATCAAATGCTACTTGTAACATATGATGGTTTTGGAAGTACATGTGTGTCTGCAGCTTTGTTGGCACCGTTGGACCTGGGACTAGCCAGCCCCCTGGGAAACAGACAACCTTGCATCCCCCACTTCCACAAAAGACCCTTGGACCAACCTCCCTTCTCCCTTCACATCCTAGACTTCTAAGGTTCACACAGCCCAGGGGAATTAGCCCATTCTTGAATGTGTGAATTAAAAAAGAGCAAACGGGCACCCAAGGGAGAAAGGAAGGAAGAGTGGCAGGGGCCGAGGGCCTCACGTGTACTGAGCCCTCTGCACGGCTCTGGAGCACACTGCATCTTGCTGTTTCTAAAACCGCCTGGTGCTGTGCTTCTCATTTTTCTCTTTTGACAGGAAGGAAGCCCAGACCCAGAAGGAGGAAGGGCCCTGCCTAAGGCCTCCAACCTCCTCAACTTGTTAGGGCCATCGTGAAGGCTCTAGT